TGTCCAATAATTATAATAATGACAATAACAATAACAACAAAGATACGAATATAATAATAACAACGACAGCAAACAAGAACAACAACCGACAACAACAACAACAACAACAACAGCAACACCAGTTTTCCCTCCCATACCATACAGCTTTTGGGACACCATCACTGCAACACAAACCAGGTCTGCTTGTATGCATACATACGTTCTTTAGGTTCAAGATTACACATAATAAAAATCACATTCATAGTGGGTGGTTGGCGGGTGCTCTGGTGGGGTTTGCTCCTTCTTTCTTATCAGCCATCTATCGTCCTGATTTTTCTTCCTTCTTTTTAATGTTTGTTACTCTCTTGTAACACCTCTAATCTTCGGCACTTATATGACCTTATTGTGTTGCAAGTGCTGTAAAACTCTTACTAAAACTAAGACATTCATACTATTGCGGCACAATCGATTACACATGACATTATGAACATAAGAGTACTACGAATAAGAAGGACTAGCTATCAAGATGTCTTCGCATGTACAGTCGAACCTGCTCTAACGGCCACATGTATTAGACAATCACTTGTACAATCTGTCATTTCCCATGATACCCAACGAGCATCCTAATGACTGTCCTGGACGCCCACCAGTCTAAGATAACCACTTTTCTCCTCGATAATAATTGGCCGTCCAAGAAAGGTTCGACTGCAGTATGTTTTTATAATGAATTAAAAATTTGGACACTTTTAAGGACAAGCGGGCTAGCCCAGGTTTCGGGGGTTCCAGAAATCTTGACCGACACCAAAGGTGGGCATTGCCCTTCCTTTTGGAGACGTTTGTTTTCATTGGTGTGTATATTTGTTTGTCTCCTTCTCTTTTAAAGAAACTGAAAAAGGGGCAAAGACTTTAACTTCGATTTTCTCAAAACAGCACTTTCGGGATAGCCCCCTTGGTCACAAAAGCGACCATTTGCCTCCGACTTTGTATCAAAAGCGGCAAACATGGAGCTCACAAAGATTGGACAGCTCTTCTAACATTTTGAGTTAGGGTTCTCATACTCGCAGCTCGTGGGTCAATTGAAGCCCGGAGGACGATATTTTGCGGTCGTATACTTGACAGCACGTTTTCGTGTTCGTCCTGTTGCAGCCCTTCCTCATATCAAGCTTAATGAGGCTAATACAAATAAGGAGACTCGCTGTCAGTCAGGTCTGTAATCGCAATCGGTAGGTAAGAGAAGCTTATATTAGAAGGAAAGTCCATGTTCTAAACGGCTATTAATTAAAAAAAAAAAAAATGTTTTGTTTGTTTTTTGTTGTTATTACTATTTTGTTGAATTTTTATAATTGAAACCTCTTTAAAAAAATGAAATAGTGTACTTAATGTGGCCCATGCTCAACCAGACTCTTTTTAAAGTTTTAGTTAAAATTTTACGGCATTTGAAATACAGTCAGGTCTAATGTGCAGAAGACTTAGAGGTGTTACATGAGTGTGCCATACAAACAAAACAAAAGGAGGAGAGATAGACATTGTAATAGGAAAAGAGGAGCAAACCACACCAGAGCACCCGCAACCAGGCTCTACCTCCAGTGACATACGTATATACGTATACTTAATTGAGTTTGAGTCCCCCTACTACAAAGTCTTTCAGCGTGCTAAACCCCCAAAGTTAATCAGAATCAATTAGGTGGTAAGCTATGGAACACCCCAAAATGCCTAAGTATGAGTACAACTCATTGGGGATTTGATCCAGTGTCATCTGCACCGAAGAGTAGCTTGTAACGAGCTGAGCTAACGGCACTCAAGTAAAATGATGGTGTTCATCAAGGAGAGTTCCGACAGTGGCTTCGCGTGTGGGTCCTGTGGGCTCCGAGGTGAAGGGCTCAAATTATGGCTAAATCGAAAGTCCCGACCTGTAAATGACCTCTCTGCTTTTAAGCAGCTTTATTTCAGTGCTTCAGGTTAACATACAACTCATGAGATCCTTGGCTTAACTGAACGAAGCCGTTCATTAGTCCTTGAAAGGATTCGGCTCAATAGTAGGGTTTTTGGTTAGGGATCTCAAGTTCTTCATTTTGTCTTAGAACCCCCAACCTTACCCTCGATAGTTTTTACATACATGTATGCACGCACAAGGACACAACACATACACAACCTCTCTCTCTCTCTCTCTCTCTCTCTCACACACACACACACACACACACATACACACACATGTATACACACACACGTTAAAACGCAAACAAGGCACCCACACACACGCGCACACACACACACACACACATACAAACAAACACATACACAGACACACACATACAGACAGACACTCAAATACAAACACATATATACACAAAAAACATACACAGTTACATACCTACACAAACACACCAACAAACAGACACACACAGGCATATGCACTCTATCACACACAGACAAACACACGCAAACACACACACACAC